TCATACACTAGTGAGAAGAGTTATTCGATGGTTATAAACCCTATATAACGTTCATACACCAATGAGACAGAGTTATTTGATGGGTATATACCCTATATAACGTTCATACACTAGTGAGACAGAGTTATTCGATGGTTATAAACCCTATATAACGTTCATACACTAGTGAGACAGAGTTATTCGATGGTTATAAACCCTATATAACGTTCATACACCAATGAGACAGAGTTATTCGATGGGTATAAACCCTATATAACATTTATACACCAATGAGACAGAGTCATTCAATGGGTATAAACCATATATAACATTCATACACCAATGAGACAGAGTTATTCGATTGGTATAAACCCTATATAACATTTATACACCAATGAGACAGAGTCATTCAATGGGTATAAACCATATATAACATTCATACACCAATGAGACAGAGTTATTCGATGGGTATATACCCTATATAACGTTCATACACTAGTGAGACAGAGTTATTCGATGGGTATATACCCTATATAACGTTCATACACTAGTGAGACAGAGTTATTCGATGGTTATAAACCCTATATAACGTTCATACACTAGTGAGACAGAGTTATTCAATGGGTATAAACCCTATATAACATTCATACACCAATGAGACAGAGTTATTCGATGGGTATATACCCTATATAACGTTTATACACCAATGAGACAGAGTTATTCGATGGGTATATACCCTATATAACGTTCATACACTAGTGAGACGGAGTTATTCGATGGGTATATACCCTATATAACGTTCATACACCAATGAGACAGAGTTATTCGATGGGTATATACCCTATATAACGTTCATACACTAGTGAGACAGAGTTATTCAATGGGTATAAACCCTATATAACATTCATACACCAATGAGACAGAGTTATTCGATGGGTATATACCCTATATAACGTTTATACACCAATGAGACAGAGTTATTCGATGGGTATATACCCTATATAACGTTCATACACTAGTGAGACGGAGTTATTCGATGGGTATATACCCTATATAACGTTCATACACCAATGAGACAGAGTTATTCGATGGGTATATACCCTATATAACGTTCATACACTAGTGAGACGGAGTTATTCGATGGGTATATACCCTATATAACGTTCATACACCAATAAGACAGAGTTATTCGATGGGTATATACCATATATAACGTTCATACACCAATGAGACAGAGTTATTCGATGGGTATATACCCTATATAACGTTTATACACCAATGAGACAGAGTTATTCGATGGGTATATACCCTATATAACGTTCATACACTAGTGAGACGGAGTTATTCGATGGGTATATACCCTATATAACGTTCATACACCAATAAGACAGAGTTATTCGATGGGTATAAACCCTATATAACGTTCATACACCAATGAGACAGAGTTATTCGATGGGTATAAACCCTATATAACATTCATACACTAGTGAGACAGAGTTATTCAATTGGTATAAACCCTATATAACGTTCATACACCAATGAGACAGAGTTATTCGATGTGTATAAACCCTATATAACGTTCATACACTAGTGAGACTGAGTTATTCGATGGTTATAAACCCTATATAACGTTCATACACTAGTGAGACAGAGTTATTCAATGGGTATAAACCCTATATAACATTCATACACCAATGAGACAGAGTTATTCGATGGTTATAAACCCTATATAACGTTCATACACTAGTGAGACAGAGTTATTCGATGGTTATAAACCCTATATAACGTTCATACACCAATGAGACAGAGTTATTCGATGGATATATACCCTATATAACGTTCATACACCAATGAGACAGAGTTATTCGATTGGTATATACCCTATATAACGTTCATACACCAATGAGACAGAGTTATTCGATGGGTATATACCCTATATAACGTTCATACACCAATGAGACAGAGTTATTCGATGGGTATAAACCCTATATAACATTCATACACCAATGAGACAGAGTCAATGGGTATAAACCATATATAACATTCATACACCAATGAGACACGAGTTATTCGATGGGTATATACCCTATATAACGTTCATACACTAGTGAGACAGAGTTATTCGATGGTTATAAACCCTATATAACATTCATACACCAATGAGACAGAGTTATTCGATGGTTATAAACCCTATATAACGTTCATACACCAATGAGACAGAGTTATTCGATGGGTATATACCCTATATAACGTTCATACACTAGTGAGACAGAGTTATTCGATGGGTATATACCCTATATAACGTTCATACAACAATGAGACAGAGTTATTCGATGGTTATAAACCCTATATAACGTTCATACACTAGTGAGACAGAGTTATTCGATGGGTATAAACCCTATATAACGTTCATACACCAATGAGACAAAGTTATTCGATGGGTATAAACCCTATATAACGTTCATACACTAGTGAGACAGAGTTATTCAATGGGTATAAACCCTATATAACATTCATACACCAATGAGACAGAGTTATTCGATGGTTATAAACCCTATATAACGTTCATACACCAATGAAACAGAGTTATTCGATGGATATATACCCTATATAACGTTCATACACCAATGAGACAAAGTTATTCGATGGGTATAAACCCTATATAACATTCATACACCAATGAGACAGAGTTATTCAATTGGTATAAACCCTATATAACATTCATACACCAATTAGACAGAGTTATTCGGTGGGTATAAACCCTATATAACGTTCATACACCAATGAGACAGAGTTATTCGATGGATATATACCCTATATAACGTTCATACACCAATGAGACAGAGTTATTCGATGGTTATAAACCCTATATAACGTTCATACACCAATGAGACAGAGTTATTCGATGGATATATACCCTATATAACGTTCATACACCAATGAGACAAAGTTATTCGATGGGTATAAACCCTATATAACATTCATACACTAGTGAGACAGAGTTATTCAATTTGTATAAACCCTATATAACATTCATACACCAATTAGACAGAGTTATTCGGTGGGTATAAACCGTATATAACGTTCATACACCAATGAGACAGAGTTATTTAATTGGTATAAACCCTATTTAACGTTCATACACCAATGAGACGGAGTTATTCAATGGGTATAAACCCTATATAACATTCATACACCAATGAGACAGAGTTATTCGATGGGTATATACCCTATATAACGTTTATACACCAATGAGACAGAGTTATTTAATTGGTATAAACCCTATATAACATTCATACACCAATGAGATGGAGTTATTCAATTGGTATAAACCCTATATAACATTCATACACCAATGAGACAGAGTTATTCGATTGGTATATACCCTATATAACGTTTATACACCAATGAGACAGAGTTATTTAATTGGTATAAACCCTATATAACATTCATACACCAATGAGATGGAGTTATTCAATTGGTATAAACCCTATATAACATTCATACACCAATGAGACGGAGTTATTCGATGGGTATATATTGTTCAATGTGGTATTATGCTAATCTGTAGTTGACGTTTTGCACCTGGTACAATATAGTTTCATTTGATACCATGTCATACATATAGAATATTGGCATTTTTGTTTCATGCCCCACTTACGGGCATTATGTTTTTCGGTCGTTCGTCCTTTCATTTTTTTGTACCGCTTCAGGTTAAAGTTTTTGGTCAAGGTAATTTTTGATGAAGTTGAATAATAGTAGGTTTGACACCTGTCAAGTGAAGCCATATAATTATACTGAGTTCTTTGCTTTACAGATAAAAATTAACTTCATCATTGACACAAAAACTTTATTATGTTGACATCGATGGGTATAAAAACAAGAGGCTCTCAAGAGCCTGAATCGCTCACCTGTATTTCAGACGAGAAGATTTTTAAATGTTAGCAAACTTGATGAACAAATTGTGTAAAATTGTCTTTAAAGGGCAATAACTCCTTAAGGGGTCAATTGACAATTATGGTCATATTCACTTTTTTGTAGATCTTACTTTGCTGAACATTATTGCTGCTTACAGTTTATATATATCTATAATAATATTCAAAATAATAACAAAAAACTGCAAAATTTTGTTAAAACAACCGATTCGGTGGCAGCAACCCAACAATGGGTTGTTCGATTCGTCTGAAAATTTCAGAGCTGATAGATCTTGACCAATTGAACAATTTTACCCCATGTCAGATTTGCTCTAAAAGCTTTAGTTTTTGAGATATAAGCCAAAAACTGCATTTGACCCCTATGTTCTATTTTTAGCCATGGCAGCCATGTTTGTCGATGGATCAAAACTTCAGATACAATTTATAAACTAGATACCCTAAGGAACATTTAGTTAAAGTTTGAAGGTATTTGGCCCAGTAGTTTCAGAGGAGAAGATTTTTTAAATAGTCTACGACGACAGACGACGGACGCCAAGTGATGGCATAAGCTCACATGGGGCCCTTCGGGCCACGGTGAGCTAAAAAGGGACTGACAAATTTTTTGGGGCTAAAATTTTGAAAAAAAAAGAAGATTTGATTTACATCTGCTTAACTGTAGTTTTTTTTGGTTGAGAATATAAAGTAAAAAGAAATGGTCGTTTGGTTGTATGAATGAAGTTGCATGCATTTCATTGATAAATTGGTGCGATGAACGCTTAAGACATGAATTTGATGCACTGATTCATGAAGTCATTGGCTTTTATTTTCAAGTATGGAGTCCTGTCCATGTTCTTAAGAATATTATGACATGCAGTATTTTAATTTTGGTAAATACATGTATATTTACCACCATTTTTGGAATATTTGGAGCGATCTGCCAGTTTGTAATTAAAAACAGCATATCATTGATAAACTTTTGATTAAATCAAAGTTCTGAAAGAACAGATGAAAAAGATATCTGTAAATGATGTTGCCCTTTTCATAACTTATTATGTAAAGTTATCTTCTTTACATTTGGATACATTTGCAGCACAAATAATAAACAAATAAATTTTAAAAATATTTATTCATAATTATAAAAAAAAAAAAAGTTTATACATGCCCAACAGATGAACTAACAGTCCTAAACTTAAAATTAAATATTTTACAAAGAAATATAATTAATTAAATATAATTAATCAGGTTTGATGGAAAAAAATTGATTAAAACATTTCCAACAAATTTTCTGATGTTATTGTAGTTGATGGATTCCTATTAGGAATAACAGTAATAGGATCTAAGCTTCTGATGTTTATTAATAGTAATATTATAAATAAAACAAATTTGAATAGCAATATAACATATGTAAATAACTAGTTATTTCATAAAACATTGGTGTGTACTTGTATGATATATCACTGATTGTATAATATATGGTCAATATAAATGAGATACCACTGTCAATTTCAACTATTTCAACGATTGTAGACATTGAACAATACATATTACTTAGTTAATAACAGGTAAAACATATTTTCTGTATTATTCATGGTAAAATAGTAATTAGACAAATGATTTTTACAATTAAAAAATAGACATAAACTTTAATCTATACACACACATATGACTCCTACATTGTAAATTTAAACTGAATATGAATGAATGAATGAATGAGTTTATTTGCAAAAAACATTTACATGCTATGGCAATCAAAACATATATTACACAATGATAAACAGCAGAAAACAACACAAATGATACAATGTTAAGTAATAATTTGACATCTCATTTTCCATGCTGCATTTAGATAATTAAAATTATTTATGTCTCAGAAGAACCAGTTCATCCACAAGCCTGTTTACTTCTTCTTTTTCACATAGAACTTGTATCAAACCTAAAAAAAAATAACAAGAATAATATGCTAAATAAAATAAGTCTAAAATTAAGCCAAAAGAAAATAATATCAACACAATCATTTGATTTAAAATAAAATGCTCCGCTGGGGCGCAGCTTGATACCACCGCAGAGGTTGAACCCTGAACAGTTGGGGCAAGTATGGACACAACATTCAAGCTTGATACAGCACTGAATTTGGATTGTAATTAAATATTTGACACAGCATAGGTTTCTCACACAGAATGAAAGTGGTCTAAGAACTTAAAAATTTTTAATTTACCTATTCAAACCATATCATTATTATTTGCTTTTATATATAAATCAGAAATAACCAATTTAAAATGGAAAATTTTAAAGAAAAAAAAGGAAAAAAAAATCTGATGACGACGATGACGACGCCAACGTCATACCAATATACGACCACAAAAATTTTTTTGCAGTCGTATAAAAATAAGAATTTCCAATTTTAACCTAACAAATCAATTATACTTTGATTTTCCCAAAGAAACAATTATAAATATTCCTTTAAGTCTGACTTAAAATTGAAATAATAAATGAATGTTCTAGTTTTGTATATATCAACTCATTTTGTATCTACATATAAACAAGCAAGCCTCATTTACTCAAAAGATTATTTTGTTCAAGATTTTACAATTGAATAAGAGATGAATATAATTAAAGCATACTTTTCATATGTAAAACAAATGTGATTTACCTCAGGCATATATAAATCCGGTATAAGGTGGAGCTTTTCTACTCCAACATTTGTGATCAAACTGGTATTCAGTGTCAACCTGAAGAAAATGAAAAATACAACAATCAGATTTTGTAGCTACCTCCAAATTAATTTTTTTCTCATTTTTCAGAAACATTTGAATACAATTATTATAAAAATGATTTCTTAAAACTTTTTATTGCTGAGGTAAAAACATTGTTATCAAATGGCATGACTTTGAAGATAAAAGTAACTACAACTTTTTTTTATACCATTTGATATATACTGCAATAACATTAATTACTAAAACTTACAAACTCGTCTGTAAATGGACCAAACCGACCACTTCTCAAAGCCCATTTGAGTTTTCCATTTGCTTCCCTGGAAAACTCTTTTCTCAGGCTGTGCATTTGTGCCACTTTGTCGACTATCATCTGAAAGTATCAGTTTGAAAATATCACATTTCAACATGTATTCCTCTTTGATTTAGAAGTTTACATGTCAACAGAATGTTCTAATATTGAAATTTCATCTAAAATCAGTACTCTGTGGACCTTAAAAATGCCTTTTTAAGGTGGCACATAACACAACAGGGAGATAACTCTGTAAAAATCAGCTGAACGTTTAAATCACGTTTTATTGTAAGGAAATATTAAGCTTTTGAATGATCAAAATTAGTGTATGTCAAACTGCTATAGATCCAATGAATTTTTCTGATAAACTGTGTGGTTCAGGTTTTTTGAAATTTTTATATTTTTGTCAAAGGCTCAAAGTAAATTTTTTGTCCAAATTTTATGAAAATTAAACGAGCCAAATTAATTTTAGTCAAGGGGTTTGGTACCACATTTATCTAATATTTCATCACCTGTAGAACTGTAGCACAGAAAGTATGGCATACTGTTTAAAAAAAAAAAAATCATATTTTGACTATTTACTAGATATAAAAGACAAAATACATAATATTTGCATAACTTGTCTTTCTTCTCATTTTAGTTTTCATTTGTAGTGGTCTGAGTCAGCATCATTCAATAAATGGTCATGTTTGTTCTTTCATAATATACACTTACATTGAAATCCATATCCAGGTCTTTAACCTGCAAAGTTGTGTAGTATTCAATGCTGAAATATAAAAAAAAATAAGTATGCAATGTAGAATAGCTAACACAATACAAAATACTTTTCCAATAGCATAAAACTTATCTCTAAATGGTGTACATAAAAATAAAACCAACTTACATTCAACAAAAAATATAGAAAAAACTTTTAGAAACATTTTGGTACAATTTCCGTAAAAATGAAAATACTAAGTATTGAAAACACAGAATTTTATATTTGGGTAAATTAGACCGGATAAAGGAAGAGTTTTTTTTTTATGAGAACTAGGTACTTTTTTTACCTTTTCAGTTTTAAATCTCCATTTTGCAGGCAATCACATTCACATGGGAAATCATCCTGCAAGCTAAAGGCTGCTGCAGTGACACCCATGCATGTGTCATGAACCCACTGTCCACAAAGGGTACATTCCACCCAGCCTGGGGTTATATCCTTGTGGTGGCTGACCATAAAACAGCACAACCCAAGGCCAAGGAACACACAATCCTCAATACTGCTTCCATAAGGTCCCAATGAGCAAACAGCTGGAACCACATGGTTGATAGATGCAAAACTATATGAAGAAAATAATAAAAAAATTATCATACAAGTATAACTAAATTCAAAAGTAAAAAAAATATGCATTTAGGTGTCTATAAATATATTTCAATTTACTCCAAAATGCTTTTTGATGTAGTATGTAATTAGGTTGAATTCAAGTCAGATAAATTTTAAAAAATTCTTCAGAAAATTTGCTGAACTCCCTAGAACATAATATATCTTTTAGTCACTCCTAAGGAACATGAAAATCACACTTTACAGCAACCTTAATGAAATTGTAAGCCTTAGTTTTGACATTAGAGATACATAGCCATTTCACACACTATATATTTATTGGTAAATGATGTGAGTGATCATGGAAATAACTTTACAAATGTAATACACAGACATTGTTAACATGATATATTTTGAGTGAATATCTTTGGAATGAGCATGATAAATATACAAAATATATGTACATTGTTGGGAAATATCAAATTTATTTGTATGAGCTTTAGAAACAGGATTAAAAGAGAGGCTCTCAGAGCTTTTCTCCGGTTTCGTACCGATTACAAATAAATTTGATATTTTCTGACAATGTACATATATTGTTTTTATCCTGCAATTTACACCGACACTTGAAACTTTAGTTGTTAAAATCCAAATCCAAATCTATTTTTTTCTAAGAAATCGCAGACTGCGAAGAGGACCCCAAAATGAACTGTTACGCCAAAAGAAATATCCCCATTACAGCTTGCTCAACATGGAAGTGGGGTAACTGTAGACTTTATTTGTACATGTACAAATAAAGCAAAAATTTATTTGTGTACCTGTTATTTGTACAATAGTTAACTGATTGCAGGATAAAGTGAGGCATACAACTTTGATATCTTACGCATTTCTTGGATTGGCAGGCACCCAAACCAAGTGTGAAAATGATGGTCTAGCTGGGGGTGTCAGCGGTGGCAGGATCAGTTGCAGGTACTGCTGGTATTTTTTTGCAGTGCTGTTGTATTGGACGTGACATCAAATGGGACAATAGATGTAGATGGAAAACAGCTGAAAGAAAAATAACAAAGCTATAGATAATATACATAGGTAGCAAAATTAAAAACAGAATACTTGGTCTACTATTACATACATTGATCATCAAAAAAAGTCACACAGTAATGATATACAGAACAGAACTATAACTATTGGTGCTAAATAAATATGTGCATTTTTCATTCATTATTTTGTACATCAATCAGGCTGTTAGTTTTCTTGTTTGAATGGTTTTAGATTTGTCATTTTGGAGCCTTTTATGGCCGATTATGCAATATGAGCTTTGCTCATTGTTGAAGATTGTGCGGTGACCTGTAGATGTTAATTTCTGTGTCATTTGGTCTCTTGTGGGGAGTTGTCTCATTGGAAATCATACCACATTTCCTCATTTTTGTATTAATATATTTTTTAAACATTTGAATGATAAAAATTATTTTAAGAAACATTATACTTACTTCCTTCCCTGTATGGATGTTGAATAGTCGAGACCAGCTCTTTTCGGCATCCATACTCTACCTCCTCTGCTGTTGAGGCTGCATTTACCTGCAGCAGGGTAGATTTAACCCACAGATAGTTTTCTCTTTAAATTCTTCTATAATTAAAATAACTGTTTCCTATAGGCAATTCTGTCAGTGCTCAAATTTAAAAAAATAAAATTAACATTGCCAAGCACAATCATAGATAACCCCTTAATGGTAACCTGTGATTTACATAATTTTGTTAATATATGTCCTTTTTGTCTACATTTGTATACTTATGTGCTACTCTTTTATCATACTACATTATTTTGATATTGATTGTAACACCAGATTGTGATCATATAAATGGTTTGTGAATTGCAAATATAAAATCTTTTCAAACAAGCATTCTGAGAGTATTGCATGGCAATACATGTACATAGTCCCCTACCGGTTAAAAATTAATTGTACTGGAACAAAATGCTAACTTGATCTATAACTGGTCATGGTGTAAACTATACAACAAATATCGTCAATATCTTCAAGCATGACGAAAAAAAGTTTGGAAAACTGATAATTTAAGTGAATTTTCTAAGTCCAAGGACCATAACTCTGCAAAAAATCATCAAACAGAAACGAAATTCAAACTTGGTCTGTAACTTGTCATGATAAAACAACGTACCAATTATCAAATCATAATCTTCAAGAATGACGAAAAAAAGTGCAGAAAACTGAATATTTGAGGGAATTTTTTAAGTCCAAGGACTATAACTCTGCACAAAATTATCAGACCGGAACAAAATTCGAACTTAATCTGTTACTTGTTATGATAAAACAACATACCAAATATCAAATCAATATCTTCAAGCATGAAGAAAAAAAGTGTGGAAAACTGATTTGCCGGACTGACAGAAGGACAGACAAACAGACAGACGGACGGAGTGCAAACCTAAAGTCCCCTTCGACTTCGTCGATAGGGGACTAATAAACAGGTTGAATTTTATACTTGCTTTATAATGATTTAACATATAGAACTGTTTAGCAAAAAGGATTTCCAGTAGGGAACCTCATTAGGTTGGATTTAGAGCAACAAACAATTCTATATTCTATCTGTAATAGAATGGTATAAAATGATGAAAAAACAAATAAATGAATATATTGTATTCTTACATATTTTGAAAATGGTACTATATCGTCCACCATTTTCAGCACTGAAGCCAGCTTCAGTACCACAGCCATATCTTCATTTCCATAGAGGATAATGGACACTGCATTATAAATGCAATTTCCATTTGCTGTGGACTGGTAAGCTGTACGTTCCCCTATGGAAAGTGGTATAAAGTCTTTACACCTGAAAAAAAGGACATCTCTAATATTATCTGATTTTCAAAGAATATTAACTATAAACAAAGCAAGATAAACAAGGATTTATTTCTAATCTTGATGTAGGATTTAATTAAGGCTATATTGAAAAATCATTTTAAAACCAGCACTTACATGTAGGTTATCAACTCAAATTCTATGCCCACTAGATGAAACTTGATTAATAACTTACTTTTTGTTGGTATCTATTAAGGTGTTGGGCCTCCAAGTATTTGACAGGGTGTCTGGAAAAACAGGAATGTAATCCCAAATAACTTCTGCCAAACCCCACAAATCAAACCACAACGTAATCAAACACCTCACTTTTAAACATTTTTCTTCTAATGTAATCTAAATAAATATAAATGAAAACAATTGTTAAATGAAGGAAACAAATTTAAAAAAAAACCAACTGTTTGTTACTATATATGTGATCAATAAGTTTTAGCAATTAAAAACATTTCAGACATTTCAAAATAAAAACCAAGGAATTTTCTAAGCACAGCAAGAAACAAGGAAATGTTTTACAGTTATACACAAATGACTTTTTCAAATAGGTGAAGTGCTTGTAAGATCTCAGAATATACATGATACCATTTTTCAAGTGTGTCTCTTATAAACATGCATCATTTATTATATTTGTCATTTATTTTGTCATCCTGAACATGCATGAAATATTCAACACTGGATGTTTAGCACAGGGCTTCCAAAATTTCCTGACGACAGCCGGACATTTTTCAAAGAAATATTTTTGACGGTCAATGATCAGCTGTATACTTAAATGTAACTGAGAGGATGCATAAATTGATATATGTGTCTAAATAATTAGTAGTGTTATATGCAATAAAATTATTTATAACTGTTTTGTTTTCTTCATTCTAAAAATAAATAAAATATTATCCTCGGTATTGTGTCATTTTTCTGTGTATCGTAATACAGTAACCATCATTGCATCAATCAGCTTCAGTACCTGACTGTTCTCATGTTTTTGTTTCTGTTTATATAATCTATCTTCTCTCTGTGAGTACTTAACACTTTGTAAATTAAGGCCATCTTATTTGAAACTGTTGATGTTGGCTTTAATTGCAGTACAACTTGATCATCAATACACGTGATACTTTTCTTTTTGTGTATTGATTACCTGACCACGTGACTTTTACAACTGATGCGGTATTTATAGATAACATTGAGGAGGCCCGATGAAGGATATTGTTTTAAACCGTGTAAAATCTACTGAACAGTGATAACATTTTTCTTTGTACAATTTCCCAACCTGATTTAGAAAATAAGGAATAAATAAAAACATACTCAGTTGATAAATAATTTAATGAATAACAACATGATATTTTATGTAAGCATATAACGACAATAAAATGTCAGAAGAGCACAATGCTGACAAACACACGCAATAAATATTACAATGAGCACATTGAAAAGAAGCACAGATCACAGCACAAGATTAGAGTTCATTTAGTCTAATTAAAGATTTTACATTCATGAGCTTGCTAAATGCATTGTTCTGATAAACATGGCGGTTACGAACGGATTGCCATTTGCGGATAGCAGGAACAGGGTCAAAGTCTTTAACATCTACACCTACTAAGCTTATCCTCATAAGTTGATCTAAAGCGTCAATACCTAGACTACACCTTAGTCGATCATAATTCCCACGGCGGGACTTAACTTTACGTCGGACATCACCTCTTTCTCTATAACATCGGAAATTGTCTGAATAAATTCGGAGCAGGCATTGTTCTCTTGATATAATTTAGAAGTGATCACGGCACCATTTAACTTAGTTAAATCATTTATTGACTGAAATTTGTCCATTGGTTTTTCCTATATATTTTAGTAAATTTTCCCCTTGAGAGTACCCCAGTATTTAACACGATGTACTGTGTAAAATAAAATAATATATATCATACTTATTCATTTATAAATATCCTTATTTGAAGAATAACTTTTAAATATCAGGATACTTTTAAAACTGAATGCTCATTTAAAATAATATCTATAAAGCGTAATTAAATAGGATGTTGTTCCATACACGCTTACATGTTTGACCTCGTTTACCGGATTACCTTTATGTACATTGTTATGCATCATTAATTCTATTGATAAAGATAAGCTAAGGACACCTCATCAAAGGTAACAAACCTGTAATCAGTGAATGATTTATGGCTTCAATATAACTTATTCAAGGGATAATTGTTTGACAGCTTGTTGTTATTTAAATAAAAGAAAACGTGTTTTTTCTACTTTTTATTGATGTACACAAGCTAAAGACCAAGCCGTACATTTATGTACCCAGAGGATTAGACTAACTGAGACACTTCAAAGTATCTGAAATATGCTGCTTCTGTTTTATTAAACCCAATTATGACCGAAATATCTTTGTGAAATAGATTGCCACAATTATAAACTAAAATGCCCAAACGGACATGCCCAAAGCCCCAAACGGACATTTTTATCTATCGATAGTTGGTAAAAATTGAAATGACCGTTTCATGAAAATGCCTTGAATAACCAAATGTGGCACACCAATTCTATTTGACCGTTTGAGGCTGAGAGCAGCCGGTCTTTTTATGAAAGTTTCGGTCAAGTCCGGAATATATGACCGTTTTGGAAGCCCTGGTTTAGCAACCAATTTTCAATCAATCAATCATTTTTTTGTGTTAATGGTATATACCCAACATTTATGTTTCAACTGACCAATTTACAGCTTTCTTTGTACATTGTATTTAGTTAAAGTATAAGGCCATAACAGTGGCCTCTATGTGTAATGGTTTAAAATAAACTTCAATTTGTGCATTATAAAAAATTTAAGTTATATTTTACCTCTTCCATGAAAATTGAGTGTATTCTTTCTCTTTTCACCTATAAAATACACTTCAATCTTTAAATGTTTTCAGTGCATATACTTTTATATAAAAAAAAACCACACATTTAGTAATATTAACAAAAACATAATAAAAAATAAAGAAAAATTTTCCTGCTACTTAATATCTCCTGTTAGACTTCCTTAAAAATAATGTGACTGTTCATATTGATTTTCCTACTTTACCATGTTGTTTACCGAGCCTGGAAAATTTAGGTATGCTCTGGGTGAAGTTATCAATCGTTAAATAAACTTATTCTAAAAGGATAACAATTTAACACTGTAATTAGATCTTTAAATATTGTTTATATTGGAATAAATATTGACTATTCCATCAGTAAATTAAAATCACACTAAATATATACGCACATCTGTTGATGCCTGTATCGTGTTATTTCACAAGGTCATGTTTTTCTCTAAATGTTAATGACTGTTAATGATGTATTTACACTAAATCCAGTGTAATTCATTGGTTGTCGTTTGTTATCATAATTGTATATTGTTTTGTACACGAATCAGGCTGTTAGTTTTCAAATTTAATTTGTTTAACATTTGTTATTTCAGGGCCTTTTATGGCTTGATAAGCGGCATGGGTTTTGCTCATTGTTGAAGGCTGAACAGTAAACTATAGTTGTTAACTTCTATGGCATTTGGTCTCTCGAAAGTTGTCTCATTGGCAATCATACAACATATTTAATTTTTTTTTAATATATACAATGAATGACTTTAATTATATATGAAAAATTAAAAGTTCCTAAACATAAACAGACATAAAAAACACCTGTATCGAATGATCTTCATATCTAACGTGTGTTTCCCCCTCCGGCTCTTGCCCTTTCTCCTGTCCTGTCTCCTGAACTATTACTCCCCCTTGTTCTTCATCGGTCTCCTGCACTACCTTGTCCCCTTCCCCTGTTTCCTGAGGCTCTATTTGATCATGGTGGCCAGTTTCTATACATTCTTCTTCTGTACCATTTATATACTAAAAGATATTCAAAAGCAAGTTGCATTACAACTGATTGAGGAGACTACAAAAGTTGATGGATGGTGTAAAAGATAAGTAAAATAATGATTGTTAATTTTAACACTGTTCCATCAAAAGATTATGCCCATGGAATACACCAATTTTAAAATAGTTAAGTGTGTTGCTGAAAGAACAATTAAACCCAAAGAGCCTGTATCTTAAAAGAAATATGTAAATAACATAAATATAAGCAAAAGGCATTACAAAGGATTAACTGCCCAAGGGAAAAGAAATGGGTCAACATGCTGATGTTTTCTAAGCCAAAGGCTTTCAATATTACAATACACAAGACCAATAATCACTGTACATTAATAACAAAACAATGTTATACAAAATGGCATATAATACAATAATTCAACACTGTAGGGATATATATATTCAGTAATCTGATGACAAGTCCATCAAAGTTTTGATGTATGACATGTCATTTACTCTTGCGTCATAGCCCCCTTTATCAAGGTTAAATAGAAACTTACTATATCCTATCAGTAAGTTATAATGGTAAACCATTAAGAATGTGCTATTATAAATGTTTTCAACTTACAAGGATATAACAATGGAAACCATACGTTATTAATATTAAAGAAAGGAAAATACATAAAAATATATTGTGTCATACTAGATAGAGAAGTCAGTGGTCCAGCTGATTGGGATATCAGCGATCTCATGATGCCAACATCCAAATCATAGACCTGAGTTTCCAGCACAGAAGAGGATGGTATTGAAACAATATTATTATCATCTGGAGCCTGATCAGGAGTGTTGTCTGCCTCTGAAAAACAAACACTTTATCAGTATCATAAAATTATGGTTTAACAGCTTTAAGTTACAATATGCCCCTTTTCCCTCCCACTAAAAAGATTTATAAATACAGGTAAATATTTATATGTGTGATTATAAATACAGATATAACATAAGAGTTCTACCACAATAATTTCAGTAATTTTACACATTACTAATTGAGGTAAAAATACTTATCGTCCATGCAGAAAATCTAAATAAAACAATTGTATACTTAAATCTTCCATATTAAAACATTACATTATGAAACATAAGAAATATATATAAATAAAGAAAAATTATTCCCTTTGTCAATCATAGACTGGTTCTATGCTGGACAAAATAGGCTTTTGACCACTCAGCATAAGTTGAAAGTGATATATCAGCGTTTTAACAAATTTTTATTGAAAAATAACTTCAGTTATCAAAAGTATTTAGCTTAAAAAAATTATTAAATGATTTGAAACACTTAAAGGTTACACACATAACGCATAGATACATTTGCTCTTTCCACTAGATCTCCATTGTCATTAAAAATTAATGTCCCTCCTAAGGGAGACAACCAAAAAAGTTCTCTTATTACAGGAATTGGCAAACAGACTAGTGGTCCATGGTCTTCTGTTTCATTGTGGTATAAGAGTCTATGATGTGTTACTTACAGATATATAGGTCCATGGTCTCATGTGTAATATGCATATAAGACCATGGCATGTTTATGAGTCTAATTGGTCCATGGTCTTATGTTTCATTGTGGTATAAGAGTCCATGATGTGTTAATAATTTATGTATAGGTCAATGGTCTCATGCTTAATATGTATTAAAGAGACCATGGCATGTTCCTTACAGTCTAGTTGGTCCAGGGTCTTCTGTTTCATTGTGATCCAGGATGTGTTAATAGATATATAAATTATAAGTCCATGGTCTCATGTGTAAAATGCATAAAAAGAGACCATGGAATGTAACTGACAGTCTTATTGGCCCACACTCTACTGTTTCTTTGTGGTATAAGATTCCATGATATGCTTATAACAGATATATAGGTCCATGGTCTCATGTGTAATGTGTATAAAATAGACCATGGCATGTTAATGACTGTCTAATTGGTCCATTGTGTTCTGTTCCATTGTGGTATATGAGTCCATAATGTGTTACTAACAAATATATAGGTCCATGGTCTCATGTGTGATATGTATAAAAGAGAAAATGATATGCTTATAACAGATATACAGGTCCATGGTCTCATGCGAAATATGTATAAAAGAGGCCACAGCATGTTAAGTTCTAATTGGTCCATGGTCTTATGTTTCATTGTGGTATAAGAGTCCATGATGTGTTAATAACATTTGTATAGGTCCATGGTCTAATGTGTAATATGTATAAGAGAGACCATGGTATGTTACTGACAGTCTAATTGGTTCATTGTCTTCTGTTTTATTGTGGTTTAAGAGTCCATGATGTGTTGATAACAGATATATAGGTCAATGGTCTCATGTGTAATATGTATAAAAGAGACCAGGGTATGTTACTGACAGTCTTATTGGTCTTTGGTCTTCTGTTTCATTGTGGTATAAGAGTCCATGTGTTAATAACATATGTATAGGTCCATGGTCTCATGTGTAGTGTGTATAAAAGAGACCATGGCATGTTACGGTCTAATTGGTTCATGGTCTTATGTTTCTTTGTGTGTTGAAAACAGATACATAGGTCAATGGTCTCATTTGTAATGTGTATAAAAGAGACCTTGGCATGATACAATCTAATTGGTCCATGGTTTTATGTGTTATTGTGGTATAAATGTCCATGATGTGTTAATAACATATGTATAGGTCCATGGTCTCATGCGTAATATGCGTAAATGAGACCATGACATGTTACTGACAAGTCTAATTGGTCCATGGTCTTCTGTTGCATAGCTTTATAAGAGTCCATGATGTGTTAATAACAGATATATATGTCCATGGTCCATGGTCTCATGTGTAATATGCATAAATGAGACCATGACATGTTACTGACAGTCTATGGTCCATGTTTTTATGTTTCTTTGTGGTTTAAAAGTCCATGATGTGTTATTAACGTATATATATGTCCATGGTCTCATGTGTAATATGTATAAAAGAGACCATGGCATGCTACAAACAGTTTAATAGTTCTATGGTCCTATGTTTCGTTGTGGTAAAAAAGTCCTTCATGTGTTTCTAACAGATATATAGATCCATGGTCTCATGTGTAATTTGCATAATAGCGGAAATGGCAGAGTCACTCAACAATATCTAGTCTGATTAACCATTTTACAGTCTTAATAAAAAAAAAAGTGCAAGTACGCCCTCTACGCCCCCTTCTGGATCCGCCACTGACCAGTGCTGATTATTCCCTCTCAAGGTTATAAACTGTTTTTTTTAAATTTGAAAAATGTTATCATCATGATTATTCACAATCCTAACCACAGCCCAGTAAAATTTTCCTCAAAAAAGCCATCATTAATTTATAGCAGAACAAATTTTCTGTGTTTATTCATTCTGGATCTTACAAACATTTTTAGTTGTTGTAATTAATCATCTCAGAGTTCTCGAAATCTTTTTTTTCCTGGTGGTCATTGGGACCACCAAGACTAAAAATCTGGTGGTCCTGTAATTTTACTTGAATTTATCAAACACCTATTAGTTAAATGAAAGTCATTGCTCAATATATATAAACTCCATCCTAGTTTCTATGTTATATATTTGGTTGTTTTCAATGAAATTTTGAACTTTGCATTGTTCACTAATTTTTATACTTTGTCAGTTTGATAACATGTTTGATTTCATTTTTGTGTTAGTCTCATGCATTATTCTACCTGTAGAATACCTGTAGAGTCGTTTAAGGGCTCAAGTGTAAGGAATTTCAATAAAAATTTGTAATAAAAATAATTTATCACTAAAACTGGTACATAACATCTTCCCAATGATGATCAAGTTGTATTTTAAAGTTATCAACGATCTTTGCAGACACAACATTTTGGGTAAACTGTTCCAATTGTTTATAATTCGTTAGGAAAAATGTCTTTTACGAAATGATGAATTACATCGAGGCTTAATAAGTTTAACAGGTTGGGTGGACTCAAGTAAGGAAAAGTGGGGTATTCCCTGTTTTCATGTTACACCCCAGTTTTCTGGTGTTAAAAAAAAACCCAGTATACAGGGACTTCTTTTTTCCTATTTTATGGTATGAAATCTACAAAAGTGCACCTTTTACATCTGATAACAATGTTTTATGTTAGCAGGTGTGTTATTAGTTCAAAAATCAAACTAATTTCAAGTCTATTTGGTACTCAACTCACAACAAAACAACTCCTTTGTTCACCAATTCATACCTTGATCATCAATAATTCAATTATGAGATGACAAAAAGATAGGTTAATCAATTGGGCATTTAAATTCAATGAATAGAAACTTTCAATAGAAGTGAACATAATTCAGTAATGGTCAGTTACACCTGGAGCATGCATCTTGGTCAGTTGATTCCTAAACAAAAGATTTGTATGTTTTTGAGTTCTAGAAAAAGAAAGGCCTCACTTATTCATGCTTTGTTGTTCATGAAATACTCTAAGTATTTACAAATACTACTGATTCATGCCATAAATTGAAATAGAAATTGGAAGTCCCTGTAAACTGGGATGTTCCCTGAAAACAGTGAATACCCCACTTTTCCTGACTTGTTCCCAACCTGTGTCCACAACAATCATTTACAGTGAAAAGTGCATTAAAATTAAGAAATAAAAGAAGTCTGATGTTTATTCCTCAGCTGCAATTTTTGTAATATAGAAAAAAATGTTCAGTCTCTGTCTGTTCAAATACAAAGTCCTCTGGTTTAGCACCCCCTCTGAACGAAATGAGCCATGTGGATGCCATGATGACTTTTATGTCTGGTTATTTTTCAAAAGTATTACCGTAATTTTAAGCTAGAGGCTACAAAAGTTAAATTACAGTAGTATCCAGTTCAAAAACTATCTGGATACTAAAGAAACCGATGACTGGTTCTTTTTCAAAAGTAGTACCGTAATTTTGACCTATACAGTTAAAAGTTTGTTTACATTAGCAACCAGTTCAAAAGCTATCTGAATACCGAAAAGATGTGAAAACAAAAGTGAACAACCACCAAAATATTGTCGGTCATCAGGACTGCCACTACACATGCAATTTTCGGTCCTGGCTGATTTTTGGCAGTCAGGACCGACGATTTTCGAGAACACTGTCATCTTACAAGTTACATAGAAGATATATATAACTGCCCTCCATTAGTTATGCTTACTTAACTCAGTTTGTATAGCAGTGGCTTACTATGCCAGGGGTTTTAGGTTCAAATCAAGGCTGAATCAGTAATTTACTTTATCAGACAAATCATGCTTTCCGGTTACAATCGGTGTCTAACTAAAAAATTTGTAAGGGTTCCGCGGAACCCAGTGTCTCGCCTACTTTTGCTGTTAATCGCAGGCTCAACAAAAATGAGAAAAAAAAATAATAACAATATTACTTTCGATACGATCTTTTGATTGTAAGAAGCTTCTGTCCCAATTTGGTAAAAATCCAGGATAGTTTATGAATCTAATAAATGTTTTAAATCTTTAACTGCAGACTGTATGTAATGTTAACTGGAAGAAAAACTAAGTCCATTTATAAGTAAAATACTGATAAACAGGTACAAAATTTTTAAAATTTCCTTCAAGATACTAGCTTTTGATCATAAACAAGCTTCTAACCAAGTTTGGTACAAATCCAGGATAGTTTAAGAAAGTTATTAAAATTTTAAAAACTTTAACCACAGAGTGAATGTAATGTTAACTGGCAGAAAAACTAAGTCCATTTATAAGTTAAATACGGAAAAAATGGAATTTTGTTTTTTACAAATTTACTTCTGGATACTATCATATGATCATTAACAAGCTTCTGTCCAAGTTTGGTAGAAATCCAGGATAGTTTAAGAAAGTTATTAAAATTTTAAAAACTTTAACCACAGAGTGAATGTAATGTTTCCTGGCAGAAAAACTAAGTCCATTTATAAGTAAAATACGGAAAAACAGGATTTTTTTTTTTACAAAATTTAATTCTGGATACTATCTTATGATCATAAACAAGCTTCTGTCCAAGTTTGGTAGAAATCCAGGATAGTTTAAGAAAGTTATTAAAATTTCAAAAACTTTAACCACAGAGTGAATATTTGTGGACGCCGCCGCCGCCGCCGACGGAATGTAGGATCGCTATGTCTCGCTTTTTCGACAAAAGTCGAAGGCTCGACAAAAACCAAGGGTGTTTAAAAGTAAAACCTACAGCCAGAGTAAGTGTTGTTGATATTGCCCGTATGTCATTAGGTATGTTGACGCGGGGGAGTGTAGCCGTGCTTCCCCTTCGGTACCTCGAATGACCAAATAACACTGTTATTATCCGAATAACACTTGAAATTTTAATATTAGCACATATTGATGACTTTTAAACATTGATTATTAAATGATATTATATTATAAGTGTATTTTATAACTTAAAAATGATTTACAGAAAGCAGGTAAGTTCATAAAGATCATTATAAATATAGTGTGTACATCCAACATGGCGACCAAGGAAATCACAATGGGAAGAATAAAAGAATGATTGCATAGGATCCCTCAACGTGTTCATTTTAGACCACAAAAGTGGAGCCCTCACGCCACTTCATGGCATTACCCCTTCCCCTTAGTCTCACCTTGTCAATACTTAACCATGTGCTTGTGGATTACTCGTTTAGCTGAGTTGGTAGAGCAGCGACTTTCTTCTGTGCAATGGGTCACAGGTTCAAATCACGATTGGTTCAGTAATTCATTTTGAAAAGCAAATAATGATCCCTGGGTTACGTATTATTACTATTAATCATAGTGAAGTTAATCATATTAAGTTAAAAGTCATGTACAGCTGTGGGAGCGGTACAGCCTCTTTAAAAGGCAAATCCTATTTATTGTCGCGCGATCTTTTTATGCCTTATCCTAGTCTTTTCTTATATTTCTTCAATTCATTTATGTCATTGTTTGGGGTATCTGTAGCCGTAGATAACTTCAGTAGGCGACGGTATAAAACTATGCAAATAACTTTTGTAAGGGCTTTTTAGAGAAATCCAATTAAAAAAAACATCACTGTAAGTTTCCTCTGCCACTAAAATACCTAATTGTTCTCCTTCTTCTGACTTGGCACCGCTTAAAAACACAGGGGTTTCGAGATGCAGGACCGTCGCCATCTTAATTACAGCTTCACCATAATGCATAAGTATCTGCATCTCCGATTGGCTCCCTGAAAGTGACGTATTAGATATCTTTATTTGGCATTTGCAGGATATTTCCCAACTATCTAGTGATGTGATCAGACCATGATTCTGTGAAAGTTTCAGTTTAGGAGCAGTTGCGGAAATAAAGGTGGGACAGTAGGACGAATGAACGGACGAACTCCAATCAATATATAACTCCTACTTCAGAAAGCGGAGTGGAGGGGTTAAAAATCAGAAACAACACTCCGTACAGGTTTTATGAAGTATGCAATTAAAGATAGGTTGAGATATCCCGTCTAATACCATTTTTTTACGAGAAATTTTATGCTAACACATTTGTTCATGAAAACACACGTTTCTAGATATTAGAATATTTATACATTTGTATAAAAAACATGTACAGTATCCATCAGAATATATGGAAGCATTTAAATTTTGTTAACATTAAAGAAGTTTGAAATTTTTTTCAGTTTATCAGTTTTCCCTGCTGGCAACAAAATACTTCATAACGCATATGTCCTTGAAGCCGGCCATACAATAGGCATACTGTAGAACTCTTGACTAAAATAAAACTTAAGTTATGTCACGAAGTCTTAAGTACCAACGGAATTTGATACAGTGTAGATTTTAATGATGGTGTCCATTGTCGGGGAAAACTTCCTATTGTAAGTTTGGTGGTCCAGTGGTAAAAACTAGTTAAAGAAACAATTTAAGTGTTTCACTTTACCTCCTAAAAGCGAGGATTAAAATAACAATTTAACGCTTTTCAGGTGTGAAACACAGGTGATACCTCTTTATTATCAATTTCTACAGTCAATTTAGAATACCGAATCCAAACGCTTTGTATCTTAAGAATAATAGCATCTCTCAAATTAAGTCATCTCCGAAATTGAGTTCAAATATTTACTGTGACCATTTTGCTGAATAGTAAGCCAGTCCTCAAAGTATTCTTATACCATTAACGGTGAGACATTTCAAAAAGAAAAATACCTATCATTTTTCATCTTTAATTGAACTTAAATCACATTTAAACAGTAAAGGAGAACACATGGGTCATACCATGGGTATCTATGCAAAGAAATAAAATATGTGTATGTGTAAAAGCATGAATATCTATGCATAGAACTAAAATATGTAAAATTGAGAAAGGAAACGGGGAATGTGTCAAAGTGACAACCTAATCAAAGAGCAGAAAACAGCCTAGTTCAGCAAAAATGGACGTCACACTAAACTCCGAAACATATAAATGAACCAAAATTTAAAAAAACATACAAGACTAACAGAGGATAGAGGTTCCTGACTTGGGACAGGCGCAAGACTTGGGACAGACGCAAAAATGCGGCGGGGTAAAACAGATCTCAACCCTCCCCCTATACCTCTAGCCAATGTAGAATAAACAAACACACAGCAATACGCACTGAATATCTATGCATAGAAATAAAATGTGTATATGTGTAATAGCATGAATATCTATGCATAGAAATAAAGTATGTATATGGGTAATAGCATGAATATCTATGCATAGAAATAAAGTATGTATGTGGGTAATAGCATGAATATATATGCATAGAAATAAAGTATGTATATGGGTAATAGCATGAATATCTATGCATAGAAATAAAGTATGTATATGGGTAATAGCATGAATATCTATGCATAGAAATAAAGTATGTATATGGGTAGTAGCATGAATATCTATGCATAAATATAAAATATGTATATGGGTAATAGCATGAATATCTATGCATGAATAAAAAATATGTATATGGGTAATAGCATGAATATCTATGCATACATATAAAATATGTATATGGGTAATAGCATGAATATGTATGCATAAATATAAAATATGTATATGGGTAATAGCATGAATATATATGCATAAATATGAAATATGTATATGGGTAATAGCACGAATATCTATGCATAAATATAAAATATGTATATGGGTAATAGCATGAATATATATGCATAAATATAAAATATGTATATGGGTAATAGCATGAATATCTATGCATAAATATAAAATATGTATATGGGTAATAGCATGAATATCTATGCATAAATATAAAATATGTATATGGGTAATAGCATGAATATCTATGCATAAATATAAAATATGTATATGGGTAATAGCATGAATATCTATGCATAAATATAAAATATGTATATGGGTAATAGCATGAATATCTATGCATAAATATAAAATATGTATATGGGTAATAGCATGAATATCTACGCCAAAAAATCAAATATGAGTAATAATAGACAAAGACATTTCAACTGATGAACAATTTGTTTTATCAAGAAGGTTTTCATAATAAACATAAAGCGTATTCATATAAAAGAAAAAGCAAAAACTCTTGCAACGACTTCACAGTAATTATAACAGTTGCTCGAAATAAGTAAGTAAAACTAAACATAGTGCTACCAACATAGAAGATCAGGTGCACTTGACGTAAAACAATTAGCACTCATTGTTTATATATCAATCTAAATAGGAGCCATTATCAGTAATTTAATTTTTTGTTAAAACCTCACAACAATTTTCAACATTAACGATGTAATTAAGAAATTATTAAACATTCGACATGACAAAACAAAGCCCCCAAAAAACGAAACAAACATAAGAAAAATGAAAAACAGCTTGTGCAAAAAGGTCTACCTTTTCCCTTGAAACTAATCTGAGAATGGAAATCATGCGCTGTTTGTTTTTTTTACCCTTTATGCGTACGTAATTGGTAAATATTCAAAGAAATGATGTTAATCGTTTCATTGCAAATTGTTAGAAAACTATGATAATTTCATCTCATTCAGATTCGTTATTTCGTTCATAATAAGAAATAAAACAACTAATTAAAATTTATACAGTTCTCAAAAATGTGAACAATAAAGCAATGTTAATTGTCAGTCAAGGTATCATTTTTGACATCTTTAAGAAATTAATTCAGCGACCGGTGTCATTATAATGTACTGTTGAAATGACGTACAGTAATGGATTGTACTGCAAAACAGATATTATTTATGAAAATTAAATGTTGTAAAGTTTTCTTATAATTATATGACAACAATAAAAGTATGAATATTTATGCACTCAAATAAAAAAAAAGTTATGCAGGTCAATCAACTAACTTGCTAATTAAAACTTATTTAAAAACAGTTTGGAAGCTTATACATTATGTTTAACCTTGAGCCTATCAGTACTGAACTCTATGTTTGACCTTGAGCCTTTCAGTACTAAACTCTATGTTTGACCTTGAGCCTATCAGTACTAAACTCTATGTTTGACCTTGAGCCTATCAGTACTAAACTCTATGTTTGACCTTGAGCCTATCAGTACTAAACTCTATGTTTGACCTGTTTGAGCCATTTTTCTACCATAAGTCTTTTATTTTAAACAGATTAAACATTTTACCCTACTCAAACTTGCTTGTAAACATGTTCCATACTAACAACTTGTTGTATGTATTCCTCAAGATTTGAAAATATTGGATTATGGCTTACATGCTTTAGGGCAAAGAAAACATACAACATCGTTAAAAGGATATACAATTGCATTTGAAATTAATTCCTTTAGGTTACGTAAGCTGGCTTAGAGACTAGAGGAACAACATGACTTTCATATGAACGCGGTTAAAACCTTGTTTGTTTGGATAAAAGATAGAAATTCAGTAGTCATATAGGTAATTTATTAAAAACATAACTTTATCCCCCAGGTCGATTAAAACATCATGAAGAATAATATGAACTTCACAAGATCAAAGGATCGTTTTTCTTGCTTTGCCAAAATCATGATTGTAACCTAACTGAACGAGTTCTAAACAACTATTTATAAAGATAATACACTTCATGTAAATAGACTTCTATACTATACCCTTCTGTACCGGTTTGGTCTCTGTATACCGGTTTGTCTTTTCACGTTTTACTTTATGTTATAACTATACACTTCCTAATATTATTTTATTATTTTAAAATTCATTCTAAATCTATGAACCCCATTTCACTAAAAAGTCTTCCATATCCAGACTAAAGTCCCCACTAATGATCGACTACAACTGTTTGGATGAGACAAGTTTATTTTATCATTCAATAATGGATACCTGACAGGAAGACCTGCAGTTTTGGAAAGAAAATTTTCCTCTCTTTATGACTTTTAACATGCAAAAGCATTTAAATAGATTATTGAAACAGTATGCACTGGTTTGCTTAGCTTATTATCATGTGAATTCATACGTAAATACGCCTGATAAATCACTCGTAATTTTATTTAATGTTACGCAAGACGCAACTCAAGTGTTCGTTCGTGTAATCCATTAATGGACTTTTGGATTTTCGGTCCTGAAAATCTTGTATTTAGTTGAAAGGAAGCAGGTTTTTGTGATATTGATATCATTGTTAAGTATTACCGGCAATCTTCGCTGGAAGCCATCGGTATAACATTAAAGAAATATTTTTCGTTTAAGATTACTATTATCAGAGACATATATATATGTCTCTGCTATTATAGACTGAAAAAATGCTCCCGAATATTTAAGAAAAAATGAGTATATATTAAGCAATTCTAAAAGTGATAGGGTATACAAATGTAAGAAAGTTAATTAAAATTCTGAACTATAAACTGATAAAAATGTGAAAACGTATTCTTCGGTCATTATTGGGACCAAGATTGGGACTTACGGTACAATTACAACATACATAAGTATTCAAACAGCATTAAAAAATAAACAGTGATACTGGCATTCAAAAACCGACAACCTTTAACGTTGCTATTTAAAATGAAATCACGCGAGAAATGTGTTACGTCAATATGGCGGATTAAAAGACGTAAATTAAATGAAATAAAAAGAAACAATCAGCACGATAATAGGATTGTGTAAGATGACAATTACATTGTAACAACTTTTGTAATTGAAATTTATTCAAGAATTTAAAATGAGGTTCTTTGAAATTGAGAGTAATCCATCATGACGAGTTTATGTGAAAATTTCGGAAGCCAGCTGCGCCCCTTTTATGTTTTAAATTCGTTGTAAACTACCATTGGTCATAAAATCTAAGCATTGTATTGTAATAGAGTAATAATATA